CCGCGGATTATTGCATATCTGGACGATATTTTGGTTGTTTGTAACTCGGAAGAAGCAATGACCCAAGGGCTGGACCAGGTTGTAGACAGTCTGATCGACTACGACCTTAAGATCCATATGGCGAAAGGTTATTTTTTGCGGAAGGAGATTCACTATCTCGGGTTGGTAGTCAACGAGAATAGGCGTGCACCTGACCCAGAGAGATTGAAAACATCCCGGAACATGAAAGTGCCGAAGAACACGAAGGAGTTGCAGTCGTTTATGGGATTGGTAAGCTACTACGGCCCCTTCATCACTGGGTTGCACGGTTTAACACCTCCACCTAGTCGACTTCTGTGTAAGGACATGGAGTTTGTTTTGTCTCGAGAATTCCAAGACGCATTTGATGCCATAAAGACGATGATATGCGACTCGACTATACAATCGCACTTCGAGGATGAAAAAGGAATCACTGTCCATACAGACGCCTCTGATTACGGTTTAGACAGAGTGCTTCTTCAGAAGGACGCAGATGGGAGAATCCAAACAATCATGCATGCTGCCAGGTCACTGACAAAGGCATAACAGAATTATAGCCAGATCTAAAAGGAGGCACTGGCCATCATCTTCGCCATGCAAAGGTCCCACCTGTTCATTTATCGCAGACCCTTCACACGGCCTACTGATCATCAACCGCTGAAGTCCCTTTTGCTTACTAACCGCGGTGTTCCTCAGAACGTAGCTAGGAGAATACAACGCTGGAGTACTATTCATCAAAATCAGGACTTTACGGTCCAGTATGTGCCCTCTCAGAAGTTTGGAGCTCCCGGCGCCTTATCAGGACGGAGCGCAGCCAACGAAAATTAAGAAGACGTGGTCGTCGCCAGCACGCTAATGCAAGATGATGACGAGTTTAGAGGTGTAATCCGACAGTTGCCACTCACAGCAGAGCACACTAGGGCCCCCACTGCAGCAGACCCCCTTTCGCGCCAAGTAAAAGAGTTTATTCGGAACGGTCGGCCCATTGACGACAAAGTACACCCAACGATAAAGCCCTTCAGGAGCAGAAAGGAAAAGTTGTATATCACGGAAGACTGCATAATATATGAAGGTAAAGTGGTGATCCCAGCCAAATATCAGCAACATGTTTTATGGGAACTCCATGCCGGACATCAGGGTACGACCCGCATTAAACAACTGGCCCTAAAGTACGTACACTGGCCGGGAATTGATAACGACATAGAATCTTTCGTTCGAAGCTACGGCCCGTGTGGGCATGAGGATAAGAACCCACCGAGAGTACCGCCCGCGCCATGGTCGGAAGTAACGAGATCTTGGAGTAGAGTCCGTATGGACTTCGCAGGACCGTTTTTCAATCGAATGTTTCTAATAGTTGTCGATGCATGGTTCAAGTGGGTAGAAGCTTTCGACGACACGGCAGCTACTGTTGTTATCACGACAAGGAAAACAGAAGAACTAATAGCGAGATACGGCATCCCGAAGGAGATTGTGACCGATAATGGCACTCAGTTCACGGCATCACTTTTCCAACATCTGTGTCAGAAATGGGGGATCCAACATGTGACGTCACCACCACTCCATCCACAATCGAATGGCCAGGCAGAACGTTTCGTCGACACGTTCAAGAGAGCAATGAAAAAGATGTGGAACACTGGCGTTAAACTGGAATATCTCCACACATTCATTTTTGTTCATAGAACATGTGGTCATGTGATCATGGGGCCATACACCAACGGAGTGGTTTTTGGGACGACATCCAAATACACGACTACAGTACCTACACCCGGAAGTTCGAGGTCCCCACACGAAACAACATTACTTTCGCAAGGGGCATGAGGTGTTTGCTCAACTACAAGCCGGAGAGAAGCCCTGGATAGGGGGTATAATAAGACAATCCAAAAGCGTTGTGTTTGAGGTGGAGACAGCAGCTGGAAAAATAAAGAGGCATGCTAATCGGCTCATGACTAGACACACCAGAGACAGTCAAATGGCACTCGACCTGCTGTGTGATACCTTTGAGGTTCCGACCCCCAAGGTAGACAGTCCGACAACACTACCCGTCGTTCGTAGAAGCAGCAGAAGAACGCAACCGCCAAGGAAACCGGTCTTGAACCCGAAGAAGAAGAGGTACGAAGTCCAACTTTCAAAAGGGGGTGTTATGGTGGGTGCAAGCGGCGTGGTGCCACGGCTTAAGGCGCTGAACAGGGGACAAAGCCGGCGGCGTGAGACACGCGTGAAATTGGACGGCCGACCGGCGTGCACTGCATCGTCGGGCACGTGTGGTGGCTTTGCTCACACGTGCGGCCCAAT